CACACTTACTCTACACTTAATTATGCCAATGCCTTAGGAAGTTTTAGTTATCCCAGATGCTGAGGCATAGATATTTCAAAAGAGATCTTTTTTTCACAGTCTCAACATTGTGAGGTCCAAAATAAGACATGATAGGATCTGGTGAGGATCCAATGCTGGTTAGCAGATAGCTGCCCTGTTACTGAGTGCGCACATGGCCTTTCCTTGGTGTAGACTCACGGACTCAATGAGATAGATAGATAGATAGATAGATAGATAGATAGATAGATAGATAGATAGATAGTTAGATAGACAGACAGATAATACCATTGTCTACTTGACCTTCTAAGCTTAATCTCCCAGAGTCCCCATCTCCGAAAAGAAGAATTCTGTTAGATGTTTTGGAATCAACACATGAATTCGGGGAAGACATGAAATTTTGGCTTATAACACTCACATTGTGAGTTCTATTATGTTTAGTCTCTTTCTTCCCTAACTAGAGAGTACTGAAAAACAACAACGACAAGAAAAAAAAAATACATTTCAAAGAGGCAAATACACTGCCACATTTCTCTGTACTGGACCTATGGTGGAACACAGTTTAGAATTTCCATAAGTCCCTTTTGACTGCAGGGGCAGAAAAAAAATGATATATTTCTGAATGGTCCAAATACTCAACATTTGAATCATAATTCTGTTATTTCAATGTGGGGTTTTGAGCATAGCAACTAACTTTAAAGTTTTATTATCTATAAAAACTAGAAGACGAACTTCTTTAGTGGAGTGAATTCAAGGAATGATGAGTACCAGAAGCATGAACTGAGCTTGCCTTGTCTTGTGTGTCTATAGGAAGCACATAGACCCTTTTCTTCAAAAATATGTTCTTTTGGGGTTTTTTTGTTTTATTTTTTGGGAGATGGAAATCAAATAAATTAAAGCATAATCTATGTCAACACTTAACATATTAAGGCAAACAGCAATGATATTTGAACCAATAATTTGAACCAATATGTCATGAAAAAAGGGAGACAGACTGATATCTGAGGAATAATTATTCTAGACATTGGATAGGACAAGAGCAAAGAGTACAACAGTGGCACACTGAAAGTACTTTGACGCTCCAAAGGGAAATGCATATTGTATAATGAAAGTAACAAGAACCTTAGGAGAAAGTGAAGAGACAAATACACAGTTGCACAGCATTCTGCAACAAAAGAATTGTTGGATTTTAGCACAGAGTTCCTGCAAATAAAAAACACATTATGAGATGTATGTATGGATAATAAGCTTCTGGGTGGGGTGGATGCAGCTGAGAAGAATGAGGCAAGTGTCAGAAAAGCAAGAAGTTTTCTTGGGTATTTCTGCTTGCCTGTGCATTGCACACATACTCGATGGCACATTACAACATTGCCCTTCAAAGCATAGCCAGACTTGAAAAAAAATTAATGAGGTTCAAGGGAAAATATTCCATATGTTCAGCGTGGGCAAGGTGGTATTCAAATGTAACACTCACCCATTGCTTTCCTGAGTTTGTGAGGCAAAATTTACATGCTTAGCAATAAAAAATGGCCTTTTCTCTCATTCTCTCAGTTTTCCCCTCTTCTGTGTGTGTGTGTGTGTGTGTGTGTGTGTGTGTGTGTGTGTGTGTGTGTGTGTGTGTGCATGCGTGTGCCTGTGTATTGGCGTGAGAGTGTTTTGGAAACCATGGAGATAGAATATTCCACCCCAGCCGGCAGCTGTATATCTTTCAAAAAGTGCTTCCACAGGCCAAATCCCCCTCCAAATTATTTATGACTCCCATTGAAGCTAGCAGGACTCAGGCACCAATCTAGGGGGTCAGCAATGGCCCTCTTTGTTGGACACAGGTCACTGAGAGATGACTCTGGATGTGACTGCTGTGTGAACCTCCGCTGCTGTAGAAATGTTTGTGTAACTTTAAACAGTAATGACATTTTACAGAAAACTGCTTTTTAATTGCTATGTCTTCTTCATTATTCTCTTTTGAAATTTGCCCAGGAGATTCTGCATGAGACAGCTCGGCATGTTCTGAGTTTCCATTTTTAAAGAGCAGCCAGTGTTCTGTTTCAGCTGCTCTGAGAAAACCCCCAACCCTAAATTTTATCTGTTTTCAGTTTCACTAAATGGGGTAGGTAATACTGCCTCTTGTATCCTTGCCAAACGGAAAAATGATTTGATGCAATTTTCTAAAAACGCTCTCCCCAAATTCCTTTTAGGTTAGGACCAAGAATAGAATATCCTATCCCCTACAAAAGGAAAAATAAAGTGATGAGTTGTCTGGAAAAAATAGGACTGAGAATATAGAATATCGTCACTAGAGTTCCTTTAAGCAAAAAAACGCAACCCCAATCCATAGACACAGTTGCCTATAGGGAACAGCTAAAAATAAATTTTGCTTTGGAGGAGAAAATAGTAACTCAATAGTGCACACTCTAAAGAACTGCAAACTTACTTTGAAAAGGAGTTTGTAGCTGGTTTGTTTTTCCCATCCTTTGCTGTCTGTGTTACCTTACTCCTATACAGAATGCTGCCTGATCACTTGCTCTCATATTGATGCCTTGCTCAGTGGTAAGGAGTTTTTCCAATTTCACAGCAGACCACTGTCCAGCTGCATGGCTTTCCCAGAATATCTTCTAAGTAACGTCATGTACACCACACTAAACAAGCATCTGCTTCAGTAGGCACAGAGTCTAAACTCATCTCTTGTGAGCTGTACAGATAATTAAAGATTTCCTTAGGATGTACCTGCTGCTTTTCTTCCTTTTATATGCTGAAGAGTTCTTCACATGAAAAAGAGGAACGATACTGGCAAGATGGCTCAGTGGGTTAAAGTGGTTGCTGTCAGGCCTGATGATCCAAGTTCAAACCCTGGAACCCACATGATTGAAAGTGAGAATCAACTATAACAAGCTGTCCTTTAACCTCTACTCATATATTGTGCAGTGAGCCACATACATACACATAAACCTATACAAAATAAACAAAATAGAGTAGGGAAGTAAGCACATAATTAAAATAATTGTGTGTGTGTGTGTGTGTGTGTGTGTGTGTGTGTGTGCCAGAAACTATTCCATGTCATTTATAAGTAGTTTTCTTTATTCCTACTACACGTATCCCCATTTCAACACAAGAGAAAGTATGTCTTTAGAGAGAGAGTGAGTAAGTTTCTTGAGAGGATTTTGGCATGGAACACAGTGGTAACACCATTCAGCTCTTCATGGAGACTGTGGCTTCATGTCGTAGAAATACTGACACTCACGCCATCTTTTTCTCACAGGGCCTTCAGCAAATTCTACTGTGTAGTTTCCGTATGAGGACAAAATAGTAGAATAGAAATCACATATACATATATATCATATATATGTATATTACTTATATAGGTATATCTGAAGGAATAAGACAAAGTCTATAAACATCAGTGAAAACTAGAAACTTAAAAAGTATAAAAAATAAAATAAGCTGCAATTTTCACAAACTCTAGAGTAACTCTGGAGCATAAGTGATAAAGAAATAATAATTTAAAGAAGAATATAGCACTCTTTTTTTACAAATTGAGTGGTAAGGCCATTACTCCAATATATGCTACAGGCTAAAGCTATTAGCAGGCTCAGAATACGTGAAGGGGACTGCCCTGGACATGAATTTTTTTTTTTTTTTTTTTTTTATCCAAATCTGAGCCTTCTGTCTGTTCATCATAGACTGAAGCATCCACTTGGGTGATGTTACTAGGTTCTGGCATGCTTCTTTGGCCCAGATAAATCCTCTCCATATTGCACTCTAAAAATTAAAACTGATTGTTCAAATATAGAGAGAAGATGTAGTTAAGGGTGCTCATCATCATATACACATGGGCTAGACACTTTGCCACAGTGTTTCTTGGTACCTTCCTTTTTAAAGTGATCAGGATAAAGTTAGTATCTGGGCTGCCTTTATTTTCACTAATGTTTTGTTTTTATAACACATGCCTTATTCAATATTTTCCTTTCCTTTAATTATATCATTCTCAACCTTGAAAAACTCCTGGTGTTTTCAGTGAGGCGCACAGTAAATACATGATTTCTAGTCTGTAGTAAATTTTTCCCTACCTTCTGGTCTCCATGAAGCACTTCCCGTCAGTTTTCCTACTACACTATACTCCTTATCCATCTAAGTTTGTTTCATGAGGTGGGACTTACCCAATACACTTATTGTATCTTTGCTCATTCTGCTATTCTGTTAATAGTGGTTGTCTTTTATGTACTTTCTACCAAATCCAAATTCTTTCTGCTGTAGAAACCTGTCCTTGCTCCTGACTTTTCCTTAGTCTGTTTCTGCTTAAGATGAGTAAACCCTGTTAGGAAGATGTGTGCCTACATATGTCCCTGCTGATATTGCAAATATGCTTTATTTTAAAAATCCTGCTGGTTTTGGTCACATACACTTTTAATTACAGCACATAGCAAACAGTGGCAGGCAGATCTTTGTGAGTGTGAATTTGAGGCCAATGTTGTCTGCATACTGAGTTACAGGACAGCCAGGTCAATCTAGAAAGGCACTTATTCATAAAATAAAACAAAATACAATACAATAAAATAGCTTTCTATACACCTACTGGCTAGATCAGGATATGTTCTTCATACATAAAGTTCATTAATATTTCAAGAAAGAAGAAAACAAATGAAGGATATAAAAAGATAAGCAATAATGTTGTGCATTCATAAGAGTTTTCTCACCAAATAGAAAAGGTATACACCAGGATATCTACAGCCTAATTATTAATATAACAGAACAGTGTTTGTATTTTCCAGAGTGCCAAGGTTATGGCCTGAGATGTTGAATCGTAAGTGATGAAACTAAAGGTTCCATAGACTATGGCCCATCTATATCTAAGTAGGCTCTGAAATATTTTGCTTCCAATGCACAGGGAGAAACCTGGCAATTTCGGACTTCTGTCACCTTTGGAAGCTGTTAATAAAACACCTTTTTACCCTTTCTGATTCTCTCTTCTTGCTATTTTTAACCAGGTCTTCAAATAATCTTCCCACAATATCTGCAAGAGAAGTTTGTTCAGTCGGCTCTGAGTTACATCATGTGCAATGGTGAGGGAGAGTATGTGTGTCAGAACAGCCAGTGTCGCTGCCAGTGTGCTGAGGAGTTCCCACAGTGCAACTGTCCTATTACTGACATCCAGATCATGGAGTTCACGCTGGCTAACATGGCCAAGGCCTGGACTGAAGCTTACAAGGACTTGGAAAATTCAGGTACACGGACTATTATCATATGTGCCCCTGGCCAGGTTAAGATTTCTGTGACTTGGTCTTTTTGAAGGGTTCAGGGTCAGGTGTATTAAGTTTTGATAGAGGAGACATAGATTCAGTCTCCATAGAATGAAACAGTGGGCATCATAAAGCATTATATTACATGATATATATCATCTCTGTTTGAATCAAATGACAAAGTAAGTCTGAAACACCTCTGCAGAGGAATGGAGAGTCAAGGCATTATAATTTTTCCTGAGTCTCTGTTTATGTGTCAATATGTGCATATACACAAGTGTGTATAAGTATGATTTAATGAATCATAAGTATATAGACATGTGTCTGTGTATATATGATATTTATACACATACCGAGTACATGTGTATATATATCTTATGTGTCTGTAGTGAGATATAATCTCATAGATACTCAAAGTTCACATGATTTTCAAAACTGAAAGTTACTTTTAGGATAATTTAGCTATTTTTTTGCATTTCCTGGTTCATACTAATGAGTTACAGTAGAAAAAAGTCAGTTATCACGAGAGGAATAAGGTCTAAAGTTATATCTTCAAGTTCTTGGATATTTGAATTCTGTCAGAAATTATGTAACCATCTAAGAGGTGCAAATGATTATGGTAGGCATTTCAAGTATTGGTGAGTGAGGATGAGGAGCAGCTGGCACAGTGATGTAGACAGAAATAAAGTCAGTGTGACCAGTAAAGTCAGCGGTGGCATGGTAAAAAAGAAAGAAGTCTAATTGTCCTTCTGTTCATCCGAGAGGCAGTTCTCAGGTTACTTAGGAGTGTTAGTCCCATTGTAGACAAGGGACTAGAAGCAGAAACACAGAGAAAGGCTGGCACTTGATGGGGAATTGGCAGAACTAAATTTTTGTTGTCTCGGGCAGTTGAATAGAAAAGGGATTGTGATTATGTGCAAGATCTTTACTTACAGATGCATCTTTGATCTGTAAGTTGTTGGTTCCCTTCAACAGAGCTAGAACACCCAAGAAAGTTGGATATCAAGAAAATATAGTCAATTTTAGACAGGATAATTTAAGAGTCCTTACGAATTCCAAGAAGAGTCACAAAGATATATTAAGCTTATAATATACAGTTTAACATTGGCTAAATGAATATGCTTATCAATGGAGCATTACAGTTTTCAAAACAACTTTATAAACCTTCTGTCTGTTCCAACTACATGAAACTCAGTGTGATGTGCCTTTTCAGTGAGCAGGGAGGACACCAAGACTCAGAATCTTAATTGATGTTGCATATGTTGTAAATGACAGCATTGGTAATGGAGTCTCTGATTCCAAACCAGTCTTTAAAGCAGTCTTTTCAATTTATTAATTCTGGCCAACCATGTAGAAGGCCTGAGATCCCTCATCTGATAAATGAGAGGTCACATTAGCATTTTGATTATCTGAATTTATTTAAGTCTTTTGTCACAAAACTGTTTGATCAAACAAAATCTTACTTCAGAGCTGCTGTGTATAGCAAACAAAAGCAGGGTCATATGAAAGACCTGGTTGCCATGAACTTGAAGCCCCTGCATTGCCAGGATAGGATCCAGCAGACATTGTGCTCCTGCAGGGCCATGTAGCTTGGAAGGAACTGCTGAGTGTGTCTTAAGACACTTATTTTATCCATTAGTCTTTTTCAAATTCTTGAATATTTAAAACAAAGAGGTCATGATAGAAGGATATTAGAGTGACGCTTGGCCTCAAACAAACAAACTACATTTGGCAGACAGCTTTTGCAGAGAAATGCTACTAAATGCTAAAATTTCAAAGGAAATGAAGAATATCTGCATCAGTAATAAGAAGCTCTAATTCTAAAGGAAGCTACTGTGAGTGGGTGAGTCATGCGACAGAAAGTGAGATGTTGCAGAATAAGAACATGGTAAATAGTTTGTCTTGCTCTTTTTCTCTATCAGGTATACATACCCATGGATCTCATGCACATACTCCTCTGAAATAGCTCAGTTTAATATAAACCCACCTACGTTTTTGTTCTATTTATTCCAGCCCTTAGCCTTATTGCCTCAGCCCCAGAAAGAGGAAGTAATTATTGTGGCTGTTTGATGGCTTCACAGTTTCAGAATCTTCATTAGATACTCCTATATCAATTTGACAGATGTATTATCTGAGGTCTTGTAACTCTGAAGTGGTCAGTATGGGATCTAAATTCTTACATATTTTAATATCTTTCACAAAGTTTCTAAAGGGCTGGTTCAGAATTTTTGTTTTTAGAAAGGTGTTTTTGTTGTTGGTTGGTTGGTTTGTTGGTTGGTTGGTTTTTGTTTTTTTGGCCCCTCAGTATGCTAAACCTCAAGATTACCCTCCTTATATTGAAAGAAAGTATAAAACTTTGAGTGAGAGCGCATATTCTGGAGCAAGTGCAGTTTTAATTGAACTGGCTACTGGCCATTGACCCTGTGCAAATTAGCTACCTGCTTTGTGCCTAACCTCTGTAGAGTGGGTGTTCTACTGCTAATGTACCTCCTAGGTTTGCTGTGAAGATCATTCATGAGGTCTAAAAGTGCTTAGGACTGGATTAGGAATCTGTTGAAACCTATACAACTAATCTTTCCTTATATAAATATAGTGAATGTATGGACAGGTGTGAAATTCCCTGCATTTTTTGGTAGCATGAAAGAAATTATTAGGCTGAAACAATGATTTTTAAGCTTTTTACCTACAAAACGATACATACTATGCTTCATTTCCCAGTAGGTGAGAAAAACCCGGGGAATGGATGGTGTGGTTGAGAAAGTGTCACAGTAGATAAGAGAAATTCAGATTTTACAATTGGCTCTTGAGATTCTTTGGCTGTGTTATTTTTAGAAAAATTATTTTGTCATTTTAAGCTTTAGTTTTCTTACATCTATTTGGAAAAATAAAGATAAGCTAGGTAATATCTAAGGCTGTGTCAAACTGTAGCTTGAGATGATGCTCGGAAACTTATCTATTGTGCACTAGGGCTGAAACTGTTACCAAGGAGACCCTTTACCATTTCTTAAATTGTGGTTTTCCAGCACTGAAGATGATGTTACAAGGTTTACACCTAGGATTTCAAATAAGAGTTAGATCAGGAGTGCTGAGTTTCACTTCTTTCAGTTCTCCATATGTCCTGTGGATTAAGAACAATTCAGTTGGGCGCTAGTATGTTTTTAATACCACTTTAGATCCACATGAGTCCTGTCTTTTAAAGAAAAAGAAGACATGCAGATTTGATCACTTAGCAAACAACAGTATTTGATTAGAATGTATGAACATTGCTTTTCTCACAGTTATAATTCTACCAAAAGCATGCAATACTGATTTCCTATGTAGACTGGATAAAATCTTTTCAATTTTTAAACTTGAAAATAATGTTATTAAATAATGTGATTCAAAGGCACTGTTAACAGTAAATACAAAGAGGATGTATTATAACTTTAAATCCCAATGCTGGGAATTTGGGAGAATATATTTCAAACATAGATGCCTCCTACAAGTAGCCCCCAGTAGAGAAGCAGTGTAAGTAGCACAAAAGACTGTGCTATACTGGCCTAGGGTTAATTTCACTGTCTTTCAGTAGCAGATGGATCTAAGTGTCAGGAAGGAATTCAGTACTGACCAAAAACCAATTTCTCCTGCTCTAAGCATTCCTTAGATGCCTGATTTTCTTTATGTAGGGCTGAGACTTCATGGTCCTTCCCCTCTCCACATTGATATATCTGATGTACTTGTTCAGCTCAAGTGTAAGTGAGACTGCATGAGTGTAGTAACTTCTGCCATTTCTAGGAGGAATACACTCACAGCAAACTCTCTGATTTTCTGTCTCTAATCACCTTCCTGGACCCCCTTCCTAAATGTTCCTTTAGCCTTTGGTGTGAGAGTAGTTGTGTCGATGTATCCACTGATACTGGGTTCCACAACTCTGTATTCTGATTGATTGTTATATTCTGCAATGGTCTTTTGTTGCAAAGATCAGTATCCTTAAGGATGGATAAAGAGTACACTTATATCTGAAGATTTAGAGATTAAACAGAACATGTGACATTTGTCCTGTGGTGTCTGGGTTACTTTTACTAAATATGATATTGTCTAGTTCCCAACATTTATCTGAAAATTGTATGATTTTGTTTTTCTTTATGCAGTATATTATTCTATGGTATATATTATGAATTTTCATTATCCTTTTGTTGGTTAAAGGACATTTAACTTGTTTTTATTTCCAAAGTATTATAAAGAAAGCAGAAAAAATAAAAAGGAAAAAGGAAAGAACTAAATTTTAAAGAAAGACTTCAGATGTTGGCTGCCATGTTTACCCTTTCTTTCCTGATTCTTGTTTCTTGTCAGATGAGTTTAAGTCATTTATGAAGCGTCTCCCAAGCAACCACTTCCTGACCATTGGTAGCATCCACCAGCACTGGGGTAATGACTGGGATCTACAGAGCCGTTACAAGCTCCTGCAGAGTGCCACTGAGGCTCAGAGGCAGAAGATCCAACGAACAGCCCGCAAGCTCTTTGGTCTCAGCGTGCGTTGCCGCCACAATCCCAACCACCAGCTGCCTAGAGAGAGGTATGTTGCTTCTATGACTCCATTTCTACCACGACTTCTATCCCCATTGCTCAGTATCAGCACATTGTCTTACAATAGAAGGATATGTGCTGTAGGTAGCATATTTGGGACTCTAAGAAACATAGTCCATGATCTTGACCAACTATGCTCCTGACTAAATTTACCTCTTGCAAACTTGAAATCCACATGCTTCCTATATACGTCATTGTTCTTCTGTGTCTATGGATTCTTCATCTTGAGTGTAACTAACTTCAGATTGAAATTATCCAAACAAAAATTGTGCTTCTATTACATATACTTAGATATTTTCTCTAGGCATTTTCCCATAAATCAAGTAATACAATGCATTTTATGATGTGAAGAATTACAGACACCCTAGGGATGATCTAAATTACAGGAAAAAAATGTGCATGGAATGTATGCACACCGTATTAAAGCACTTGCATACCCACTGTCTTGGGTATGTGTGGAAAGTCATGAAATTGGCTTCCCAATAATAACAAAAGAAATTGGGCTATGAACTTCAGCTCTGCATTGTTTGTGTTGTTTCTGACCTATCTTACTGTGGGAGACCCCCGACACTGGTCCCCACACTATGTTACCTTTTTGATTACATAAAATGCAGTATCTGCGCAATTTAAAAGTACTTGGTTAGGAATATTTGCATCTCTTCTTAATTTTAAAGAAACTGGGCTAACTAATTAATCATTCAATTTAGGTAGTTGAGGGCCTTTGATCAGGGCCCAGAGTGGAGTAGAACAAGTATAGCATCAACTGTTTAAGGAGGATCACACATGCTGAGCATTTGATGTTATCCAGAGATCCAGTGCTCATTAAGCTCAGAGTCTGGTTCCAGCCTTGCCCTGTCTGTAGCTTTTACTCTATTAGCCAGTGGGAAATACAGGAATACAGGAATAAACAAATAGGATTTACCCTTTCATGAGATTTTCACTTCTTTTGTGGGACATGCAATGAAGAAACAAGACTTCAATCTTCGTTTGTCCCAAATTCCATTGTACCAGGCAATTTATGATCTATCTTCAGCTGAGAAGTTTCTGTAGTAATGTCTCTAGGGTTTCTATGAGGCTATCAAAGGAGGGCAAAAAAGCAAGTTGGGGATATATGCATGAATTCATGCTCATTACCCTGATTCAGCCAGAATAGTTCTGTTTTAATTTATTCCATATTGGGGGTAGGATCTAGTCTTTTATTACACTCAGAGAAAAGGAATTCATTTTTTAAAAAGAAGAAGACAAATTTGGGTATAGGGAGATACATTGGTGTTTAAGAGTAATTTATGCCCAGTAATATTCAATTTTTATACCCACTGAGCAAGCCAAGCATCTAGCACACATATGTAAAGTTAACTATAATCAGGTTGGATACAAGAATGGTGAGTCTTGATGATCTCTATCCTAGCTGAGAAAACACAATCCTTAAGTTTAGGGAATTTGCCTCAAAGAAATAGGAAAAGAATGATTGATGAGGGCACCTGCTTTTTGGCCTTTGCATGCATGCATACAGAGGTATGCACACCTTCAGGTGGTATACAGGCATGCAAGCGTGTATACACACACACACACACACACACAGAGAGAGAGAGAGAGAGAGAGAGAGAGAGAGAGAGAAAGATAAACAGAGAAAGGTAAATAAATATTGAAAAATCAAGTTAGTTTTACATAGCATTATCTGTGTTGGCCACATTGTGTGTGTGTTGGGGGGTGTATGTATCTGAGTGCGTTCACACACACATACACAAACCTATTTTCATTTTCCTGTTATACAGTCCAGAAATTTGAAGTTCAGAGGAGTGAAATCACTAGTACAAAGCTACAGCTATAAATAACTTGTTCTCAAATGAGGTTGGTATTTTTCTCTAAGGAATATGTGAACATGTACAAGGACGTTTTTAATTGCCACAAGGAATGATATTGTACTGGACAGTTTCTAAAAAAAAAAAAAAAGAATTATCTGTCCCTAAAAGTCACTGAAAATGAGATATACCCAACCTATTGTAAAACAAAAGTCAAAATGGCATTTAAATCTATAATTCCATACTTGTCCTCTGTAATGTCTTCTATGCAAGCACACAAGACAAGAACTAAAATGTATTATATTCTTCTTGACAGTTCAAGCTGCTTGTCCCATTCTGAAACTTTCTCCTCACATTTTTCTACAGTTTATAATGTTGTTTTTTCTGTGAAGCCTTTCCTGAATGTATACAAGATGTTCCTCATTCTAAGTTCCCTTTATCTAAAAATCACTTTTTTCACTTTACATCTTTCTCTCTTTCCCCCAGTATAACACATATCTTTACATACTAGTGTGTGCTCATCTTTGTTTGCCCCAGACTCTCAAATTCTGTGTCTAACCCCACATTCCTACTTTGTAATAACCACTGTGAGAGTGAAATCAATTTTTTTTTTCTGTCAGTTGCTGATGTGTTGCTGTACTGCTGAACTACAGACTTGGAAAAGGGTCCGTTCACAAATTGACTTCCCTGTTGCATGCAGCAGATGCACAAGCTGCCACCATAAGGGAGTCTCTGAAGTAGAACCATTTAGATTTATCAGGACAGTGGCAGGTGATCAGCCTCAGGCACTGTTTGGGGATCATATGTGAATACAGTCTATAGTGTTATGAAAGATGGTTCTTATAGCAGGATTGGGGAAAGGTTCAGTTGGGTATCAGAAAATAAAACTTATCACAGGTGGATATTAATTTGTAAAGCTTATTTCAACTAAGTCCTAAAGATTGGGTTAACTAACACATAGAAATCTCTCTTCTTATTAGTCCAGTATCTAGAATTTTAACCACAGTCTTTGGCAGGATTGTTTATTCTGAGGACTCTGTGGTTATCTCCTCCCTGTGACCTCCCAGGATCCTTCACTCAGGTACATCTGTGTCCTCATTTCTTCTGCTTTAGCACCACAGTCATGCTGGATTTGCATTCATTTCAAACTAAAAATTGCCTCTGATACCAGTGATGTTCCTCAGTACTGGGAAACCAAGACTTTAACATATGCCTTTGTCGGGGAAGTTAGATCATCCAGCCTATGATACTCTAAAGCAAGGCTCTCAACCTTCCTACAGCTGTGACCATTTAATATAGTCCCTAGTATTGTGGTGACACACAACTATAAAATTATTTTGTTGCTCCTCTAAAACTATAATTTTGCTACTGTTATGAGTCATAATGTAAGGATATATGATATGTGATACACAAAGGAGTCAAGACCCACAGTTTGAAAACCACAGTTCTCAAGGAAAAATGATTTGTGTCACATTTTTAGATGAAGAAAGTGTGTGCCCTAAGATTGGCCAAACAGATATAAATCTGAGCAAAAGGGTCAACATTTAGCCTTTACAAGAGTTCACATACATCTATCAAATTTGTTGAGTATCACTACAGAAATTGCAAGTCCAAAGATCCTGGGAAAGCACCCCAGTGAAAAGAAATCTGCAGAGCCTAGACTTTCACTAGCACACAGGATCTGGGGAAGACACAAAGGGAAAGGTGCCAGATTCTCATTAAAAGGGTAGAGGAAGGGGAAAAAATGGTCTAATGTAGGCACTGGACAGTGAATGATGAATTTGGTTATGCATTCATATTAGTGAGGGTATGGAATCTTGGACAAGCCACTTCGTCATTTTGCTCTCAGGTTTCCAAAGCTGTGCCATAAACTGTATTCTGCTTGTGTAACTTGCGAGAAATGAATACCTAGAAATACCATACTGCTATTGGGACCTTAAAGAGAGCTCTGGGTGTTAGCCTGCCCTCCTAACACAAGAAAACATAACCTTAATCCCAACTTCCTCCCACTCTGTCTAGGAGAGTGGCTGGAATGTACAATTGGCAAGTCACTTAAATATGTTCATATACGGAGGAATGAATGCTGATACTGCCGAGGGTGGGAACATAGAAAATGAGGCTCGGAAGCCTTCCCAGGGGAGCTGACCTTCCTTGCCCTGGCTGTGGGCTGCTTCCTGACATCTGAATCAGAGACTTTAATGAGCATTTCTCAGACTAGCGGGCACCTCTCTGCCAAAGAGCAGTGTCACACAGAGGTGATAGCAGTGAGAACTTTGAGCCACCTCTAGCTGAGTAAGTTTATGTTTGCAAATTAACTGATCGCTCAGCTTCAATTTGTCTGCTTGTTGAACTCCATAGGATTTGAGTGCTCTGAGCAGGTGCTGTTATTGCAACAGGTGCCACTGAGATTTTACTTGTCTCACAGAGGGGTGGCATTGATACAGGATGGGAGTGAGACAGAGCATAGAGCATTTGCTATGCACAGATAGGACAGAGTCAGGGCTGTCTGCCATTTCTCAGCCATCAAGCTTAAATGCAAGTACCTGCACCTCATTTGTGTCACTGGATAATGATAATTGCCTTTAGGTTAAGTATGAGGATGAAGTTTTTAAAATTTAAAGACCTAGTAAAATACTTGACTGCAGTCAAAAAAGGATGAGAGTTCATTTTGCATGTAAGTTCTTTATGCGTGGCATTTTCTTTTCTTACATGAATTAACTATTTTTGTCATCATCATTTCATGAAATAGGTATTGTTACTATTCTCCTTTTACAGATAAAGCCATTGAGGCATAGGATGTTTTATAATTTGCCAAATAAATGCCTATTATTATTGATATTTCAAATGAGTCATTTACTTTTTAGTAGAGAGGTCAACTCTGGATATTTAGAACTTGATGAAAATTCATTAACAGGCTATTAGGAGGGAGAAGAGATGTTTGTGCTATCACTTAATGCAAAATAATCTTCCCCTAAACTTAATGTCTCAAAACAGTGGATTATCACCATTCATGATGGTGTAGGTTAACTTGGTACAGTTGGAGATCTCTCAAATTGGCTGAGGTCAGTGTCCTTGGGTAACTTCCATCTGTGGACCTCCAAAGTAGCTCTCTCCCAGAGCTGGCAGTTGAAGATGACTGTCAGCTGGAGACTCAGCTGGGGCTGTCAACTAGAGTGCTTACCAGGTC